TTTTTCTATTAAGTCTTTGCAACTGCTATATATTTTACACTTAGAGCATATTATAGTGGCTGCCACACTGGACAATATGTTCTGGAGCTTCCATGCTAGGATTTCTCTAATTTGGAGGTTAGTGACACATTTCAGATTGGGTTCTTGAAAGACAGGGGATATGATTAATGTGTCCCTGGGAAGCATGGGATGAAATATTTGGCCTTGGTCACTTTCAACTGAAGTGGCCCAGGATTCTGGGGCACAAATTGATAACCAGACCCACAATACAGTCAGATGATGTTAGCTTCAATTGTCAGTGCAACAGATATGACATCAACAGCTATTTGTATAGACTACAAAATTATCAAGGTGTGAACACATCACTGTAGTTTTTGGCCTTCACTAAAGAATGCTAATTGTCAATAGCAGAACTAGTCTTTAGCACTTTGACTACATCAAGAATTGAAAGCATATAAGCGTGTCACATTTGGAAGAGAAACTGAACTGGGTAGCAAGGAAAAAAGCTTCAAAATTATACTGAATTTTTAAAATGACTTAAAAAGCTAAATGCCTTTTCAGTTTATCTTCGTCTAACGGTCTAATGCTAGTCAGCAACAGATCAACAAGTTATCAAGATAGCCTTCGTTTAATCCTTGGGAAGCTTTTAATTATTTAAATGCGACTTTCTAAGCAATAAAGTCATCATTTCCAGGAAAAGAATGGACACAACCTGTGGCCAATAAAAGTTAGAGGCAAATTTTTTTTAACAAAAAATTTATTACCAAAATACAATATTAAAGTCAATACATGACAAACTCCTGTAAAGCAAAATAAATTATTCTAACATTGTACAGTATTTCCAAAGGTAGTTAAAGAAGCACTACAGACCTTGCCTCACTGTTCTGAACAGATGAACTGTTCTACCATGAACACAATCCTAGAGTTTCAGCTTTAAGGCATGCAGCTTGATGTGCAGGATAATTTTACAAAATGCAAATCATCCTATTTTAATAAGATACAGTGTCAGAATTAACTGTAGTCTTTACATGTCAGTATTCCAGAAATTTTTATACTTTGGCTATAGAAGCAATGCCATAGTGTTACACAATACTTATTTCTTAAAAAAATACATGTATTCATGTCCATGAATATCAAACACACATTTCTATTAAATATATTTTTATCGAATATTACTTAGAGCACCTTGCTGTACAATTTAAAAAGATTAAATAAGTGTCTGTGAAAACTAAAAATACAGTAAGTCTCAACAGAAAAGCCTGCTTGCCTTTGTCAAGCCAATTACAGCACGGAAAGGTGCAGTGTAAACATGGATGCCCACCATTTGCTTTGTGAGAAAAAAATCAGAAAATAATTATGAAGCCACCAGCAGCCACCTTCAACAGGAAGAAAGATCCAGAGCAAGGGCTTGGGTCGGTGTCACGACATTGCACTATCTGGCCAATGAACTTGGACTACCAATCACATAGAATATTAGCGTGATACTGTTGGAACACTGGGACACCTACCGTATTCTGAATGATTAGAGAAAGGGAGAAAATGATAGAGCCCTGAAAAGTATTCTTTATAATGATCAGAATGCATCATCTTCCCCCCCACCTTTGTCATATACAGTTTCTTTTCAAAGCTGTTTTCACTATCACATCTAAGTGTTCAGAGCAGAAAACAAATACTATCAGCTTCGCCTAATAAGGAGTCTAATACCAATAAATGTTATTCCTATGAAGTAATTCTTAACTGAACTTTTTTTTTTTTCAGGACCTCATTCTGTCACCCTGGTTCGAGTGCAATGGTGCTATTACGGCTCACTGCAAGCTTCCACCTCCCAGGCTCAAGTGATCTTCCCACCTTAACCTTCCAAGTAGCTGGGACTATAGGCACGTGCCACCTATGCCTGGCTAATTTTTGATTTCTTGTAGAGATGGGGTCTCCCCATGTTGCTCAGGCTGGTCTTTTTTCTTGTTTGTTTGAGACAGAGTTTCGCTCTTGTGGCCCAGGCTGTAGTGCAATGGCGTGATCTTGGCTCACTGCAACCTTCACCTCCCAGGTTCAAGCAATTCTTCTGTCTCAGCCTCCTGAGTAGCTGGGATTACAGGTGCCTGCCACCACGCCCAGCTAATTTTTGTATTTTTTCGTAGAGATGAGGTTTCACCACGTTGGCCAGGCTGGTCTTGAACTCCTGACCATAATCCACCCACCTTGGCCTCCCAAAGTGCTGGGATTACAGACGTGAGCCACTATGCCTGGCCTGCCCAAGCTGGTCTTAAAACTCCGGGACTCAAGCAGTCCTCCAGCCTTGGCCTTCTAAAGTGTTGTGATTTACAGGTGTAAGCTGCCATGCCTACGCTACTGATTATTTTAATAGCTATCTCTTTTACAATTATAATTGCATAATCTTCATTATTACTTTTAGAAAACTCAATTGTTCTTAGTAGACCCATTGTTAACTTAAGCCTTGCCACAAATGTTAATGGGAACGTACAGAACCTCCTTGATACATGCTTTCTCTTATTGGCCAGGAGAACGCTTTTAAGGACAATTCTAAGGCCAGAATCAGATGAAACTTGAAAGGCTCTGAACTTCTGGGTTAGTTTTCCCCATGAGGTGGGGAAATTTTAAATCCATGATTCCAAGTGGAAAAATCTAAGTAACAATCAATGCAATTAATTTAAAGAATTTAAAAATTCACATCATTGAAATTTTGGAGATTCTTTTCATTATTAATATTTCCAAATATTATACAAAACTAAAGCCAAGGAAATTTTATAAAACAAAATTCTTCTAAGGTTGTTAATTTCAGAATAACAGATTTTTATAACAAAATACTGAGTCATTGTACCAGCAATGATAAAACTGACTTACAATGAGTGGCAACAGTAATAATGATGAAACTATTTTAAATGTTTTATTTGAATTTAAAATTAAAATGTTTCAATTCTGAAAAAAGGAGAAAATGAATATAAGTCCACATACAGTGGATTTGGGGAATATAATTTAGTATATATAAATCCATTTCATATTTTTAAAAACCACATACCAGAAATGGATTAACTTTCATAAATAAATTAAAGCTACCTAAATAAAAAAGCTGCAAAGTTACAATCATTTATGTTTGTTTAAATATCACCAAAATGAGATGAGAAAGAAAAAAAAAAAAACCCAACAAATCAGACAATGTTTCAAGATGCCTGGCCCCACTTAAATAATTCCTAATAATTTTATAAATATTAATCCAATCATACCTGGACTTTAGGAACGGAATTCTTCCCTAAAACATGCCTACAGAGTATCCCATTCGAAAACCTGTTTTCAGTGTTCAAAGCTGATTGGTCACAGCCTCGTCTCAGGTGTTAGAAATCAATATTCAGATATTCGGAAATAGCACCGTGAGGATGGTGCACAGAAGAGCGCACCGGCCTTTTCACCTGTAAGCAGAATTTACTTTAACAAAACAATGCATAAATAAGTAATCAGAACTACAAAAACAAAAACACCCTGTTTTCTTCACTCTTGGAAATAATTAAAATATAAAATGTGTAATTAATAAGACTACATCTATTTGATGGTGAGTTTTAATGCTAAAGCACTTTGCGTTGGTTTTCCATATGTCCTATCGCACTCTAACAAAATAGAATTTTCCAGATAGGAGGAATCCTATAGACTTGCCAAATGCTGTTTGTTATTAAAATTTTTACAAACAACCTGAATTTTTGCTATATTTTAGTCACATTTGGATATATTCCACTTTTGCTAAATATAAGTAAATTAATATACCTTAGGAAGGAAAAGTTCAACACAGCAGTACTTATTTTCAGGAGCTTCTAAATTTCACCCCTCATCCCTTAAGGGATTTTTGGAAATAGTTCAAACTATTTCCCATGTCGAATGATCAAATGTAAATTTTCATACATTGTTTCTTTCACACACTTTCAGATAACAAGCATGGTCTCATTTAGCAGAGAGTATTAGAAGGTCTATGTACTACTGAGAAAGTATGCAAAGTTCTGACAGACACTGAAAAGAACCTCTGAGAACACTCAAGACAATTTAGCATTACTATAAATTGAGATCTGGTTTGAGTCTGGTGGGAATTCATCTGTTTCCTCATTTGCCCACAAAAAGTCACAGTAAATTTAAGACAATACTTTATTTCTTAAATGCCTATTTACAATCTAGTTTTGAATTTAGAGGTCTGTCTTTTCTTTCTTTCTTAAGGAGTAAAGGAACATATCCTAGATTAAGTAAATGTCTACCAATTTAGGGATTTCAGTAGATCATTTCAAAGCCCTCTAATTACGTTTCATTGTTGACTTTGTTGGTGACACTGAAAAAACCCCTCCCAGAACTGTCTCCCGTTTCTCACTGGAGTCTGCATGTCAGAAGTGAGAAGAAAACTAAGTTCTGCTTAAGACTGTGACACTTTATGACTTTTAGAATAGTTCCTGAAAAGCTCTTTCTTAACTCTTTTGCTTGCATTTCTATACTATATAAGCTTTTATTAATAAATACACTCAACACTAAGAAGGGGTAAAAGAGGGTTAATATTGTATTACACCTCTGCTTCCTCTTCGACCCACTCCCCCTCACTCAAAATCCTTAAATATCATTACTGCTCGTCCATTTGGAATTCCTTTTATTACAAGTTTGGTTCCAAAGTCACATCTGTCACTTCCTCAAAAATCACATCAGCGATTTCTTCTGTGGCTAGGTTGTTTGAAGCACAAAGGTGAAACTGGTGAAGGAATCCTCTTCTACTGCTTTCCTGTTCAAGTAATTATTCCATCTAATTTGTGTTTAGAGCTGTGTTGTGGTCCTTATTCAGGATGATGTTTACAATTTCACCCTCGTGCTCTTTCATATGATCCAAGAGGTTTTCTTTGCTGGTTGATTCAAAACCACAAATACAACAGCAGAATAGTAAAACACAGTACTCCATACCAGGAGGGGCCAGACTGGAGATTTTTTCTAAACTATATGAGGTATTGCTTGTAGGGCTCAGTTTCTCATTCTCGTTGGGACCCAGAACTTCACTGGGAGTCTGGGAAATCAGTTCTGAAGATGACACTGCATTTTCTGAACTTCCAGTGATGGGATCCGTGCTCTCTTCACTGTTCTTTAATTGAGTCTTTCCAGGGGATTTCCCTAGAGCTCTTAAAAACAAAACAAACACACCACACCATGAGGAGGCTATAATGTAGGACTAGCAGATTTAATCTTGGCTTTAATTCACACATAGCAATAAAGGGAGGGGGTAGATGAAATACCTGCCACTTTGTGAAATCGCGTCGTTAATAGCCTTGTTTACTTGTTCGTAGTTATAATTTTGGTCGCTCGCATGTTTCCACATATGCGACTTCAAAGAAGGAGGATGGCTACACACATACCCACACAGAGAGCATCTGAAAGACGGGCAGGCACAGGGAAAATCAGAAAGGTCCCATAACATCGCTGAAAAATCATCATGATTCTGTAACAATTATTATATCCCTTCTTCTGAACCCTTATTATATATATCGTATTCACTGAATCTTAAGATGTTACTGATTCTAAGAGGTACATTGATTTCTAAGAGGTACATTGATTTCAGAATGGATGTCCTAGAATCAATGAAAGAGGGTGTTTTATAAAGAATTGGATTCAAGACAAACATTCCAGATTAACTATTACAATATTTGGAAAGATTTCTGATACAGTAATATGCAAAATCTTTGCTCTAAATTATTTAATCACACACATAAAGAAAACTTATAAAATTAATACCTTATACCACTCTACTGCTTAACCGAGAAAGCAAAAAGAAACAAAATGATTTTCAACATGAACTCTGCACTCCTTAAGGACTCCCCAAAAATGGAAGCAGTTGTCTTGAAAAAGCTTCAACAGGCCGGGCGCGGTGGCTCAAGCCTGTAATCCCAGCACTTTGGGAGGCCGAGGCGAGTGGATCACAAGGTCAAGAGATCAAGACCATCCTGGTCAACACGGTGAAACCCCG